AATTAAATTTGTTTAAATTAAATTTAATGATTGATATAATCACAGAATGAAAAACCACAGTCAAAGGCGTCTATTTGTCGTAAATGAGTGAATTGTGTAGAAAATTCTATTTAATATTGAAATTATTTTTTATAAAATTTGGTTTTTAATTCAACAAAAGTTACAGATTCGAGAACAAAATATTTAATTGTCGTAAACCCAAATAATTGGCTAACTGAATGATTAAACAAGTTCGACAATGATAATTACGACAAATAAACGCCTTTGACTGTTATTATTTTTAACTACAAAGTGTTATTTTGTGATTGATAATTAATTTAAAACAATATTTTCATGTTTTAGATTTTAACATTGGAAATAAATTAATGTTGAAAAAAAAATAAAAAACTGTAACTTCTGATTTATTCAAGGGCGATAACCTTCCAAACCTCCATATTCCATAAATCTTCCATTATCAAAATACCCATCATATTTATTTTGAACATTGTCATAATATCTCTCTCCCAACACAACAACAGTGTCAGGCAAATTCAACTCAGTTAATTTGTAATTAAACAAAAAGGCGTTTGCATTAATACGTGTGACGCTGGTTGGGATGACGACCGTAGTGAGTTGTTTGCATAGATATGCCGTCTCCGAAGGTATCACTTTTAACTTTAATGGGAAGATAAGTTTGTTGATGCTCATGCATTGATAAAAGCACCCTGGTCCAATCGAAGTGACACTATTTGGAATCTCTATGTTTGTCAGTTGTCTGCAATTTTCGAAACAACCTTGTCCAAAACTCTCAATACCTTCATGAAGAACGACTCGTGTTAAACATGTGCAGTCTCTAAAGCAGAAATTTTGAAGATTGTTGACTAATTTAGGAAGGACAATATCCTCAATTTTCAAATTGTAAAAAGCGTTTTCTTCGATTTGTGTGATTTTGTCTGTGAGAGAGATGCGCGTGAGAGTATCACAAATCGACCAGTCAAATCCTCTAATACTCAGACCATAACTATTAATACAAACAACATTACTTGGAATTTCAAGTGTTGTGAGTTTCGCTGTTGAAAAACATCCATTTCCAATGCACGTGACCTCCTTTGGTATAACACAGCCATATTTTTCTCTGTCGTGATAAGTGTATTCAATGTTTTTGTAGAAAACATTCTGAGCACAGTCCTCTTTAAAGGGCGTGTATGGCACAGTGTAAAATACCACAATTTTGAAAAAGTCGGTTTTGTTGGGTGAAAGTGTGCACTTTGAATTAATAACTTTGTTTCCAAACGTTTCATCACTTTCGCTCCAAATGTTCAACGTCTCAATAGACGGGAAATATTTAAGGGTTTTCGTTGAAAGAGGAAATGGGTTTGTGTGGAATTTCGACATAGTTCCACTGAACGAATGACTAACCTCTTCAAGTGTAAAGAAATCCGTGATAGTGGAAAAGTATTGTGCGACCACCATCCCGTGGTATCCGTCCAACCGTGACATTAATGTAGTTTTTAGTTGTTTCTCTTAAAAATATATATCTATGTAAAATAATCATTTTTGTAAGTTTTAAATTATTTACAATAATTAATATGTTTTTTGTGTTTTTGTGTGATGTTAATCCAATTTTTTTCTTCTTATTTGTATTGAATAAGTAGTTTATTTACATGTTATTAAACGTTTTTTTTAAATCACACACATGATGTTTCTGTATCGATTTTTTGAATTTAAAATTTTTGTTATAAATGTTAAAACAAAAAAAAATGTTTTTTTTTCTAAATTTATATAAATAAAATGAAAATTGGAAGTCATGAAAAAATAAAACTCATTATTAAATTATGAAACGCCGTATTTGTCCAAATTTATTATTATAAAATATGACAAACTAATTACATTAATAAAGACTGATAAACCAATTCTAATAATTCTAAACCAAATGAGCAAGACGAGCCAACTTGACCGATACTCACTTATGATTGTCTCAAAATATTTCAAAAACATCGGTGACTTCATTAAAATCATTAAGGTGTGCAAAAAGTTCCAAGAAGTACCCGCGATGTTTCGCTACAATCCCATATACCTCTTCTCTCACTTTAACTTCTTTCCAAACGTCGAGACGTATCATCTTTACAAAAAAAATGAATGCCCTCCTGCAGGTTATTTTCATTATGTCTATGAATACCCAATATCATACACTGACTACCTAAAAAAGAAGTCGCCCAATTCCACTTTCACACATGTCAATTATACATTAGCCGACTTTATAAAGTATAAAAAACATGAAGGTGCGACCCATTTATGTGGACAGACGTTTCAATACTATGAAGATAAAAAGGTTGGTTTAGACTTGAGTGGTATTGTTTCGCTTGGTAATTATGGCTTTCATAATTGCTCAACACTCACGAGTATTATATTAAACAAGCGAGTGAGAGAACTCCCACCTCGCTGTTTTAACAATTGTTTGTCTCTGAAAGACATCGATATTTCTAATGTCAAAATAATTGGTGATGTGTGCTTCGGGTCGTGCACTAAATTGACTGCAATTACTTTGGGTGAAGTGCTTAGTGTCGGTCATGAATCGTTTTACGACGCGTTTAATATCAAATCAGTGAAAAGTGTTGGAACAACCAAGTTAGACGCGTTAATCAATTTGTCGTCATCAAAAGCATTTGGTTCAATTCCTCACAAATTACTCATTTCAGCAATGGACATAAGAGGTTTAAACGACGACCAGAAAATTAACGCCTTTCAACTCCCCGCCGACGAATATGGAATAGACGCTTTTCAGGGAGTTATTGGAATTGAAGAGATGGACATTCCTAAAAGTGTTACACGAATTAGGTCACGCGCACTTATGGGGACAAAAATAAAGAAACTCGACCTTTCAAATGTTGTCAAAATTAATGATAATGATGGACTTGATGAAGTCACGGCATTGACTATTCCAGCTGATTTGGAGTTCGACAGCTTGCCATTTTTAAGCAATCTGAAAAGTATCAAAAGTGTCAGAGGAAACAGTCTTGTCTCCCCAGTGGCCTGTTTTATGAAAGAAATTTTAGAGAAGGTCGGACTGACGTGTAAACAATTTGTATATACCAAGAAAGACTTTTTATTAACGAATGGTGTCATTCCCGATTTTTGCGGTCGAATTGCATTCAACGTTTTTAATGATGTTGATGTGTTAAACATAGAAATACCAAAAACAGTTTCAAGTCTTGGGTGGGGCAATTTCACAGATTGTAAGAAAGTTGAAAAAATTACAATTTTGTCGGAAACAAATGACACAATTTATATAGACAGCTGCCCAAACTTACTCGAAATTACAATAAATAGTACTGGGAGATTCGAAATTGTTAGATGCAAAAAACTCGAGAAAGTCATTTTCAAAGAAATACCATCATACAACAAAAGATATCAGCCTATGTTTTTACACTGCAGAAGTCTTAGGGAAATTTTTATTGAAACTCCTCCTAAGGACTTGGTGTATAGAGATAGAATGAGCTACGATTTCGTCAAATTTGTGAA